AGCTGAATCTCAGTCTCCTTTTGATAGCCTCTAAGGACAGAGATACAGAGTTAATTACAGGAACGTCTTATGCAAACAGCACAGGAAGGGGCTGCAACGTTCCAAGTGGCGACTGGCAGCCAGTGTAGGGCGTGATGTAACGTGGGCCATGTTGCATCAGAAAAGAGGAAACTTAACTTGCTGGCTGCTACCCACTTCCCAGTCCTGGGGCCATAGATGGCTAGGAGAGCACCTAGCGATTAGCCAGAAGGCACTGCCGTGGGTTGTGATGAAGAATGGGACCACCTCTAGGATAGGCTCAGAACCCTTCTGCCCTCACAGACTGCTCTGTCTCCCACTACTGCCTGTAGGATGGGTGTACACGTAAACTCTCCCCACCCTGCTGACCTTTACCCCGATTGGCTCCTGTACATTATATTAGCTGTGTGTGTTTTCTCATTGAACGAGATCCTGCTTTGACTGTCCTCCCTGGCGCATCTGATTGTCCTCCCGCGAAGGAGGGCTGGGTGCGGGCAGCCAGTCGACCTTTACCTTTCTTGGTTCGTCCTGGTCGGGGAGTGCTCCCCCAATCTCTCCCGCAGGTCAGGAGGGAACAGGGGGCTAAAACCCCTGACAAGCGAGGGCCAGCGTATGTCTGTAAGGTAAGCTGAGATCCTCCTCCTTGTTCAGCTAGTCCTGGGGAACTCGCTCCTGAAGTTACCCGTTATGGAGGAGGTGCTGGTGGGGTAGCGCATGCCATAGCGCCAGCCGCTTGGGAGGCTGAAGCAGCCTTTGCTGTCGGGACTTTCAGGGCCCATTCCGTGTGTGCCACTCACTGCCCTTTGATGTCAGAATTGCTGCTGTGCGAGCCCACCTTTATGTCTCCGTGGGTCGGAGTGCAGCCCGTTCTCGCGATGTCTGGTCATCTGAGGTCAGGCATTCAGGGCTGAGGCCGATCAGCAGGGCCCCGTGCCCTCTCTGAAAAGGGGAAGGGCTCCCTACGGCTGGTGGCATGACTCTGCTCCTAGACTCTGAGGCCTGTGGAGGCTTCCTCCTGCGCCTCAGGCTCACGCATTCCAAGCCCCATTGGACCTGCTGGGTCACACGCCCAAGTAGCAGAGTGGCCTGCCCACCTATGGCCTGTTGCAGAGCCTGCTCTTGTCTGGGGTCCACTCATCTGGCAGCTGCTCAGGACATCTGGTGAATGGGTTGAGGTGACAACCAAATGAACTGCATGTTTCCCCAGTCCAAATGGCCCATGGGGCACTGTGCTTCCTTCTCAATGAATCGAGAGCTGGCCAGATGCATGTCAAAGGGCAAGGGGACCCCGAGAGAGAGTGCCACTGAGAGAGCATGCTCCTATATTGTTGCGGGATATATTTTCCCCCTAAGGCACAAATATGTGTTAAGTAATGTCTCTTCCTAATCACTTGGTCCATCCAGCATGATGTCACCAAGGGGGTGGACCAGTGTGATGTCCTGGAGTTGGAGAGATGATGAAGGTCCCCTGGACCAGATCACCACATGGCTAGAGAATTGATACAGCCAGGCAGCAGGAAAGTGACCTGCTATTGTTGGCCCTGCAAGTTGAAAGGGAGGGTTGTGGCAAGGCAGGGCACCCCTCCAGCCTTGATTCAGGACACCCCCCCCCCCAGCCTTTTTTGAACAGGTCTCTGTCTTCTACAGAGGCAGGCAAAGAAGCATTGCTGTCCCTTATCTTGAGCAAAGGGTCACTTTTATTATTTATTTTACTGGAAAGAAAAACGCAATTCACAGGTAGAGAGAGTGGAGGGCTTTGGGGGTCCGTAATAATTTTGTCAATCAAACTGGAATGATGGGGGAGCCACCAGGAAATGACCTTAAAAGTCAGAAGAGAACCGAAGGCCTTGAGTTCATCATTTTCTATTTCCGAGTTCTCCAACTCCATAATATGTTTTATTTTCACTAAAATGCTGTACGGCATCAACTACTCGGTCACCCAGAGCTTGTGAAGACAAAACACTTGTGTAAAAGCATGTGCACCGTGGATCATTTTATTCCTGGAGGCCACGGACAATCAGTGTCCCCCTTTACCACTAAACACCAGCCTCGAAGACCTTTATCTATAATCAGATAAGAACACACTCTGAAAGCACGTCAGAGAGCCTGTCTTTGAGGCCCTGTTCCTTGGGAACAATTTCCATGTCATCAGAGTTCAGCAGAGGCGGGAGCCCTCTCTCTAATGACAGATTGATGGAGGGATTTTAACCTCGCGCAGGTAGAGAGCTGGCGTGGCACTCTGGGTGGCACAGCCTGGAGTTAGCACAGCGGACTGTCTGAAAGAAAGGGGCGGGGAGCAAGGACAGATGGAATCCATGAAGAGGAGTGGGACCCCCGGGTGAACAAGATCCATGTGGGTCTCAACACCTTCAGCCTCAGGGTGCGAGAAGCTGGAGTCAGAGGAGGCCCAGGAGACAGCCAGCAGCGAGGCCAGGCGTGGGCAGCGCATCTGTGCTGCAAACAGATCCTGCGCTCGGCTCCCAACTTCCAAGTAGGAAAAGAAACCTGGCTTCACTTCCACCCTCCACATCTCACACACCTCCCAGGGCCCTGCTGACCCAGGATTCCGCAGGGACAGGAATTCTGGGAAAAGGAGTTTAGGCTTAGTTACACCATCCCCACTCACCACACCTGCCTGGTACAAATCAACATGGGTTTTTTGCAGGGTCTGTTGAAAGACCTGGCCCGGTGCCAGGCTCCCCAGGGGCTGCCGTCTGCTTTACAGGCTAAGAAAGGACTCAGCTTTGGCATCTGGCAGCCTCTGCTCCCTGCCCCCCCCCCCCCGCACCCATGTTCCTCGCTACCTGTGTGTCGTCAGGCAGAGCACTTGGCCTCCCTGAGCTTCCTGTCCCACCCCTACCACGGGTGGGGACACCAGCCTCATGGGTGCTGCTGTCGCCCAGGCAGGACTGGCGGGACTCCATGTACCGGCTACTGCGTCAGCAGGCCTTAGCCCTCCCCACTCTATCTCCACCAGTGGACTCCCTTCGACTGCTTTTCAGTGGGGGACGGTCTGAGCACCCCCGTGTGCACACATGTGCGTACAGATCATGTTATCAACGAGGGGGCTTATCTTTTAATCCAAAGCCCGATTTCACACACCAGCAGAGGACCTACTGTGACAAGGCCACATGTCCACTGAGTGTCACCGAGTGACCTCTGGTGACACCCCTGCCAGCCAAAGAATAAGCAAGTCACAGTTTGGGGCTCACTTAGCCCTCATTGCTTCCCCAGAGCTGTCCACAGCAGGAAAGGCAGGTCCCCTGGGGTCTCTTCCTTGGAGGATGAAGCCTAGAGCCCCCACAGACTGACCGCCCAGGGCAGCCTCTGAAACCAAAGAGGCAGTTAGAGCAGAGAAGAAATGTAGCCAGGCCTCGGCTGGGATCCAGGGGGGCCTCCTAGGAACCCCAGTATAGGTGAATCCCTCAATTACTCTGAGTTCCATTTTCTTCCTTTATGAGCAGGAGTTGAAGACAGAGCAGGAGAGTGGGCAGAGCCCAGGGTTGGTAGAGCCAGGACTTGAGGTCTGATCCTACTTCCACTGTCGATATGCTCTGTGACTTTGGGAAAGTCACCTAACTTCTCTGAGCCCAGATTTTCTAGTAGATCTATGAAGGTCCCCCACAGTCCCTTCAGCTCAAACCCAGGTCAGCCTGTGGTGTTTCTTTTATAACCTCACCGCATCCCTCGCCTGGCCCTGGAGGGAAGCTTCCTATTACCTCCCCATATACATTCAACATTGGACCTGAGGACAGGCTTTGACTTTTAAAATGTAGTGAGCAAATTGGGCACTGAATCCCTACTCTGTGTTGCGTTGTTAAGTATAGACACTCAGTCTATAACAAAACACTAGTACATTGAGAGTGACCCATAAAATTACATTTTATTTAGAAAATGTTTGACACTGAAGGTTTTTAAATATAGGTCCCATTTATCATGTGGCTATTTTGGGGTATGTCAGTGTAAAGAAGCCAAAAGTTCCTGTCTTGGAAAGGACTCTCCTTTAATTTGGAATACATCCTTTCTTCCTATAAGGATTGGTGTTAATGTCCTTTCTTCTATAAATTGGTAGAAGAGTTGGGTTTGTAAGTGTCGTTACTTGGCAAAAATAAACCATGTAGCTGAACCCTAGTTAAAAACAACAACAACAACAAAAGGAACTGTTCTCTGAGCCCCAGAACCCCAGTATCCCCTATATTTGAATCAAGAAGGGCATTAGAAGCCTCATTTTACAACTAAAGGAATGTTTCTTTTTCAGAGATTGAAAATCAGAGAGGTTCAGTAATGGGCTGAAAACCACACAGCTGGAGAAACTAGAGCTGGGATTTGAATGCTGCTTTCTCTAGCCTGGAAGCCTAAGCTGGTGTAACCGCCCATTATCTTCCCTCCACTCCCTTGGGGAAGAGTGAGATCCAGTGCTTGGCTGGGGGAACCCCCAAGGTTTAAAAAAAGAGTCCAAAAGAAGTCCCACAGTTCATCCAGTCCCACCCCTTCCCTCTGTCTCTGAGAGAATGCAGGTAACTTTGGGCTCAGTGTCCAAAGATAGAGAAAGAGGCAGAGGGAATTCCCTGCGTGGTTTTTATCATCCTCAAGAATAAATTTTATTTAACACCCAGAGAGCAGGTTTATGGAACCAAATTTTCTTTGGCTTGAGCAAAAATTCCCTGAAGGATGGTTCTGAAAATCTGATTAGAGAAACAGAAAAGTAAGTGTACCCTTGTCCTGGAGCTGGGACAGAGGTCCCAGCCTCAGAGGGCCTGGCCTTACAAATGGAGGCCCAGGGACCTTGGGGCCTTGCCGAGAGTTCTAGAACATTCTCTTGGGACTCTCTGGGGGACAGGAAACCTGGGGCTCTTCCAGGCCCAGTGGAGCATGGAGAAAGAATGAGACCTGGGAGCAGCTGTCAGGACCCAGCAGAGAGGGCACTCCGCTGCAGGAGAGGACAGAAATGTCCCCACTGGGGAGGAGCCCACCGAGGGCAGCTAGGAGCAGAAGATGTTGGGGAAGTACTGGTAATGAGGGTTGTAGCTCCAGAGGTTTCTCTTCAGGCAGTAGACAAGCTTCCGGTCACAGGTGCAGAGACCCACTTGACAGAAGGGCCCGTGTTCTGCAAAAGACCACACTAAATCACAATGAGGACCGAAGGATCCACTCTACCAATAAATACTGACTTGCTCCAAGGGGAGCTGAACTCAGAGGCAGGAGAGTCCCAGGCTTGAATGGGAGCCGCAACCTTACCACAGATGACCAGGCCCCGCGTGAATCGGTACTGGTACGACTGTGTCCGGATGCCACAGCCCTCGTCCTCCAGCCGCCCATAGCAGCGGTCATGCATCCAACAGCACCTGCCAAGGCGAGAGACTCGGACCCTGAGTGAGGGGGAACCTTCTGACCCCTCGTCCCTGGGAAAGATACCAAATAGAAATGGGTCTTGTCAAGCGTGGACAAAATTAGAGCTGGGGGGAGGACCCCTGTCGGCCTGTCTGTCTGTTCTAAGGACTTTCTAAAACCCCAAGAGAAGTCCCCCCTGTCCTTCGTGTGCCCCATGCCTGGTGCAGCTTGCTTGCACGCACACGGATCACTGGAACAAAGTTTATGTTTGGCATTCTTTAAGCCTGGGACAGTTCAGAGAAGACACTCTGGACAGAGTGTGTGCTCAGCAAGGCACCTCCAGCAGCGAGCTGAAGCCAGCTCCTGCCCAGGGCCCCCAACACCCGTGAGCTTTGTATCCAAGCAGCTCATGTCAATTTCCCCCTTTTCTGCTAATAAAAGCTTCCCGTGCGGCAACCTTCTAGATCTGCCCGTAGTTTACCAGGGCACAGGAACTCCCTCTGCAATTCTCAGCTGTTCCCAAATCAATACTGCTATTCTTTGGTGATTCTGAATGTTATTTCGGTTGACATCCCTAACTGGTGCACAAGCGTGATCATGTCCCTTTTGCAGAGGTCGCCTAAATGGATACAGTAACAGGACCTGGTACCATGGCTGAGTACTTCCCTCTCCTCCACTACGGATGCCACTGGCCATTTTCCTGACCTGTGTTTGCCTACTGAGCTCACAGTAAGAGGACACTTCCCAGGCCCTCTTGCAGGTAGGTGTGGCCTGGAGAATGTGGGTGGAAGTGCTGCAGGTGGCTTCCACACCCCAGGAGAACCTCCCACCTGCCTTCCACTTTCTTCTCTTTCTCCACCTTTGACTCGATGGAGATGAACCAGCTGAAGACCCTGCAGCCACAGAAGATGGCCATGCCATAGATGGGAGGGGTCTGGGCCCCTCAATCAGCACGTGATTTGCACGGAACTGTTATCTGAGCAAAAAAAATTAATCTCTAGTTTGTTAAATGCAGCTAGGTTGCATTTAATTTTTTTTTGATTTGCAGAAAAATTGTGATCATACAGGCAAAACACCCAGTTTCCCCAGTTACTAACAAATTGTTACTAGTAGTATGACTTCTGTACTCCTCTGACATGTTCCTGTTGACGTGGGGCTTTGTTTTGTTTGATTCATTTTTCTTGGCACTACAAGCAGCTACAGCCTCATCTTGTACATTTCCTGCCCGATAGGACTAGCTACTTCTTCCAAAAGCTTTGATTCCTCTTAATGAAGAATGGCACGAGAAGCCAGATCGAGGCTCGAGGTGTGCTTGTTGCGGAGCAAAAATATATGTTCAGACGAACGTGTCTAGATACACACATCATCCCATATTCCTGTATGGAGCCATCCACATCTATGTGAAGGTAAACGGAGCCCACACTGATGTCTCCAGCTCAAATCCATTACCACATGGTCCATACTAGCACCTCTCTGTCTTGTCTATAAACTCCACTCCAATAGCGAGGGGCTCGACTCCAGCCACCACCCGCCATTCATGGGTATCAGGATTGTTAACTCCATAAGTTGAGTTTCTCCTTCTCATACATTCTTCTAGGATCGACACTTCCTAATTAAGAGGTGGACCCTAGTTACCCTCTTTCCAGCCGTTTTTATTTTTTGTTTTGAGACAGGGTCTTGCTAAGCTGCTAAGGCTGGTCTCCTACTTGCAATCCTCCTGCTCAGCCTCCCGAGTCACTGGGATTATAGGCATCCACCACTGTGGCCAGCTTTCTTCTTTCTCTTTGATTGGCACATAATAACTGCACCCACAATGGGGTAATTTGATACATGTATATAATATGCAATGATCAAATCAGGGTAAGTAACATATCCCTCTCCTCAGACAGCCAGCATTCCTGTGTGGTAAGGCCATGAGAAACCCCACCCCCCTTCCAGCTATTTTGAAATGTCTACTATGTTACTAACCATGGTCAACCTGCTGTGTCACTTGGAATATCAGAATTTATTCTTCATGCCTAATTGTAACTTGTACTTCTTAAAAGCTTTGTGGCAGCCTCATCCAAAGGGACAGCGTAAGTGACATTGTGTAATTTCTGAGGTTGTTGGTAAATATGCCATCCTTTTTGTGTTTTTGCTTTGCAGTTTGGGATCATTCTTTCTTAGAACTCAAGAGCCACCATGCTGTGAGGAAGCCCAAGCATGCTGGGAGAGGCCTCAGTGGGAGGAACTGAGGCCCTGGCCCTTGCCAGACATGGAATTGAATTCGCTGATGTGGGTGCAGAGCCCAGAGCCTCAGTGGCACTAGTGACAATCAGCTCACCAGTCAGTGCCATCCTTGGGAGTTCCTCGGCCGCCCCAGCCACAGTAACAGCCGTAGAAGCCGTAGTTCTTCAGGGCATTCTTGCCAGTCACCTTCTCGATCATGGACTTCAGGTCCAGCAAGCCCCCTGGCACGGCAGGCACACCTGAAAGACAGCCCATGTCCTCAGGTGACACTGCTGTGGCCTGTTCCCAGCATCTCTTGCTCTTTCTCCCACCCCCTTTTATTCTCCTAATTAGCTGGAGGGTGCGAGGTGGGGAAGGGCAGGCAGCATGGAGAAGTGGAGAAGAGTCGGGCTTAGAAAATAAGCAGACTTGGGTTCAAATTCTGGCCCAGACACTAATTTGAATATAGGATTGAAAAGGCCTCTTCATCTCTTCATGTTTTAGTTTCCTCATCTGGAAAATGGGGGCCTAAAATTAGCACCTACCTCTTGGAGTTGGCAAGATACAGTATAAATTCTGAGCACAGTGGCAGACGCATCATAAGGGACTGAGACATATTGGGTATAATTCACACGGTATCTGCACAAAGCAAGCAGACATGAGCTTCCTGTCCCTCTTTTGATGTCCCTTCTTCCTCATCCCCTTTCTCTAACACCTTTTAAAACACAAGAGAGGGTGGGACCCTTGGAAATCACTGAAGCCAGCTCCTTCATCTCACCAATTGGGAACCTGGGGTTTCCCCTGAGGCCAGAAGGAAAAGCATCCTGGCGGGTCCAGGAGGCTCTCTCCCCTCCCTGCGCCAAGTGTGGTTCCTCCTGGGGTCCCCAGAGATCGGGAAAGACATCGAAGAGCAGGACTGCCTGTCAGGGCTGTGTGCAGGGTCACAGGGTTGTGGCCAAGCTTAAAGCCAGGTATGTGATCACCTCCAAGTTGAGGGGGCGCCAAGAGCAGGGTCTGCAGAGGACCTGGACAGGTCGAGCAGAGAATGGCCCGGGAATCATGGGCTGGACTATTTCAATAAGGGTCTTGGGTTCCACTTTGGTCTCTTTGTTTTGGCCTCATTTTATTTTGCATCCCAGGAAAAAACAACTTCTCCTCCCATATTTGCAAGCTGCCCATCTTCATGCTCACAACCTCACACGTTCAACCTCTGAATTCTGTCGCAGCCCGGCTGTCCGCACCATCGTCCTCCATTAGACAAGGAAGTGGAGGCCCAGGGAGGTGGAGGCGCTCGCTGCATCCACATCAGCGCAGTAAAAGCAGAGCTGGATGCAAATGCCAGGGTCTAGGAGCTCAAGACTGGCCTTGCACTCCAAGGGGGTCACTCAGAGGACATGGGGCCAGCACTTACCATAAGCCAGGAACCAAGCCAGTGTGAGGAGCCCCTTCATCTCTGAGGTTCTGGAAAAGAAACACAGCCCACGACATGTGCAGCAGGCCATGCCCTGGGGCCCAGCAGACCCCTCTCGGCTCCCACCAGGTGTACCCATTCCCCTGCTCCCACCTTGGGGTGGGCAATAAACAGATAAGCAGACCACTCCAGCCAGAAAGGACGAGACAAGCCTCCAGGAGTTGGTCCTGGAGACAGGAGCCATTAATGGAAGGATTGGTGGGGACATTGTCCCCATCAGAGGTGGCCGAGAACTCTCCCATCACGAGTCACTGGACGCACTTGCCCACATGGCAGAGAGGTCCAACAGCACCCAGGGAAATGGGTAGGACTCAAGTGGAGGTTGGGTGGCATGAGTTGAAGGGCAGGGACTAGCTTAACCTGGAGAGCCATGGAGAAGGAGGACAGAACCCTGGACACAGAGTGGTGGGCGCCGAGGGCACAGGGGGCTGGTGTCCACATCTTGTTCCCTGGCATCTCCCCAGGCTTCTGTCCCCAGTTATCAGGGCTCTTTCCTGCTGGTTCTCTGAGGGCAGAAGGTGACAACTGATCCTTCTAGCTCAGCCCTGGAAAGAGTGCCCCAGCCCAGGATGCGTGCTCAGGAACGGAGCCCAGCACCCAGGAGGCGCAGGGGCTTTCCGGGCCCCCTGGTGGTTTTGTGGAGGCAAGCCCCTTCCTCCAACTAAACAAACCAACCACACGGGATTGTATCTGCCAGCTGCTCTCATGGACAAACATAAACTAGGTTGGGTTCATTATTATTTTCTTAATTATTCTCCTGATTTTAAAGGAATTTAAACATAAAACTTTCCCCTGGGCCCAGGCACTCTGTCTACCTTCTGAATAAGAGGACTTGGTGCTTGTGACAGCTCTGAAGGTCTCATTGTCCCTATGTGCCAGTGGGAAACCGAGGCTCAGAAAGCTCTAGGAACTGGCCAGAGATCATGCAGCCAGCGCGGAGCAGGGGCCAGAAGCGAGCCCAGGCCCGGTGCCCTTCCCTGAGCTGCAGGGCTCCCTTCCAGGGGGCAAACGCTCCAACATCCCAGCGCTTCCTAAGATTTCCTTAGAACCGTCTGGCAAAAACACCCGTCATTGGCCTGGAGTTCAAAAGCAGTCACAGCCAAAAGGCGGAGGAAATTCCCCCTCTCCGGCCACTGCCTGCCTCTGCTTGGGCCTCTCACAGAGATCTCCTACCGCGGCTGCCTGCTTCTCGCCCCTCCCAGGATCCAAAGTCCCTGTTCACCCACAGCTGCTTGCCTGGCCTGTGGTCAGGACTCCCCCTACTTGCCATGTTGTCTCCAAGTCCCCGAGTTGAAGGGTCCCTTGAGCCAGGGTTCTGGCTGAGCCCCTGCCACCTCCCCGGGCCCAGCCTCCAAACACTCAGCTCCAGGTCCCGGTGGCTCCTGGCTACCGGGCTGGCATTTATCCAGCAGCTCCTCTGAGCTCCAAGAACATTCCTCAACATTCTGTCCATCCTCAGCCTCCACTCCGAGGCTCCAAACAGCCGAGGAAAACGGCCCTAGACCCTCCCTTTCACGTCAATCTTCTCTGCTGCTCTTGGAACCGAGGAAGGGGTCCAGTGGTAACTGACCCTCTGGAAGCCTCTGACATGCAGGCACCGTCCACTGTCTCCTCGAACCCACCAGTGGCCTTGGCAGGTAGACATCGTTAAACCGGCCATCTGTCCCCTTAAGCAGTTATAGTTTAATGAATGAATAACAGTGGTTGGTTTTATAGATTCTGGAAATTGACGCTCAGGCAGGTGAAATGAATCACCCAAACGGAGCATCTCCTCCTTTGACTGGCCACTCCCCTGCCTCTGAGCAAGCCCTGTGTGTTAAACATGCATTGTATTTTCTTTTAGGATGCTTTGACATCTTGGGAGCCCTGCTGACCAGGTGGGACTGTCCCTCCTGGGGTAGCTAATTCCTAGAGGCCTCAACCTCCACCCCTGTGGGGACGCCTTTCACATGCAAACCCACCAACCCAAAGCCTGGACCCAGCACCTATCTTACCTAAGGCTCACATGTCCCCATGTCCCCCCAGGCCAGGTTTTGGACAGCTGGGGAAGCCGCGGAAATGATTCAAACAAGACAAGCCTGAACCGTGGTGAAATTGTGCATCTGGGCCCATGCTGGCACTGCTCCACGTGGCCCTGCGTGACCCTGCAGGACCTCTCCTCCTGGACACTGTACAGAACACACTCTTGCATGGCATTGCTTTCCACACCTGAATGAAACCGACACCCACGCAGGGTTAGAGCTCTGCGGGCTGCAGGCTCCCGGGGTGAGGGGCAGCAGGCGCCCCTGCAAGTGTGAGCCAGACTAGGTTCATTTGCAGAGGCTCAGAGCAGCCTCCAAACAGCTGCCCTGGAGCCAGGACCATTGCTGGAGCCTAAGGCAGGCCCTTGGGGGAGGATGTGGCGTTGCCTATTTTTATCCAAAGACCACAGAGAGCGGGACACAGCCACCAGATAATTTCAGAGTGGAGCCGCAGCTGCAGTAATGAGAGGTGGATGGAGGCCTGAGGGCAGGCACTGGAGGCTGGGAAGTGGTCAGGTTGTTGGAGGGACAGGCCCTCCAAGCCCAGATGCAGAAGCCCCGTGTCCCAGGAGCCCCTGTTCACATCTCCCAGCTGAGAGGACAAGCCGCAGGCCCCTTGTACAGATGAGCCCCGAGCCCTAGGGAAGGCAGAGCGGCCGGCCGCTCCTTGGGCCCTGCTCCCTCACCAGGGGCCAGGCTCTCCTCACACAGCCCCCCTCTGAGTCCTGCTCCCCACACCCCCATCAGGAAAAGGCAGCCCCAAGATGGAGATTCTCACCAGTGAGCCCCTCGCTGTCAGGCTTGGAGAAGAGGCGACAGCCCGCCGCCTGCTTTTAAGGGCCGTCTGCCCGCCTCCACACTCCTGCCTGGGCCAGCTCCAAGATTCCCGGTAACTCACATAAGAAGCCCTATTTCTCTTCTCAAGACCCCTGGGGATTTTTTTCCCTCTCTGTATTCAGAAGTAGTTATTTCCTGAAGCACGTCACCAGCCTGTTGGATTTAAGAGACCCATTGAGGAGGATTTGGCTTGGGCCACTCGTGGTCCCAGGACTGGAGCTCTGGGGTCCCCTCCCACATGCATCTCGCTTCCTCCCACCACAGTCAGCCTTTGTCTCGTTTGCCCGGCCGGTGGCTCCTGCTCCCGTCTCACTCTGTCTCAATCTGGGGACAACCCTGGAAGCCACATGCACAAGCCCCAAACCCTGTCCTACTCCTGTTATTCCCAACCTGCCAACCCCCAGCGTTCTTTGGAGCCTGCAAATACGCCTCTCTGGAGATGCCACAGAATGTCACCTCCTCTGGGCACCTGAGTCTACTGAGTTCCTGCATCTTGTCCCTTTGGAAAGCACAAGGCTTCTAGGTAGAGAGGCCAGCTGCTTCCCAGCTCAGCCCTGAGAAGCCGTGTGACTGTGCTGAGCAGGCTGGGCCCTGCTCTCAGTGACTCTGTGATGAAGAGAACAGCAGCTTCCGGGCTGGGCCTAAACCTGAGTGTCTCCATTCTGTGAATCAGAGTTCGCCGTGAGCTGCTCCATTGTGCGTTGAAGTGCTGAGGTGGGACCATCCACACCTCGTTCACACAAGAAAAAACAACTACCGTCTGCCCGGCACCGCCGTAAGGGCCAAACGATAAATAAATTAATCGTGCTAACGAGAATGACCAAGTGTGAACTTACCAAATTAATCAGAAACACACGGATACATGGGATCATAAATGGGTGTATGACTCAAACTGGAAAATCCAGGCCCGTGGCTTAGCGAACTCACCAGCCCACCAGGTGATGAAACCCCCTCACTTTAGACCCATGAAGGAGGAGGAATCTGAGATGACATGGTGGCACTGTGGTGACCCCCATCTCCTGGTCACTCATCACGAGCCTTGCCCAGGAAAATCGCCACCGCAATGAACCTCCAGATCTCTATCTCGAGCTTCAGTAGAGAGGTTTCTCCTGCCCGTGATGACCACACGCGTCCACTCCAAGCTGATGCTGTGAGTCTGCCATCCATCCAGACTTTGGCCTGCAGTAAGTCCCTGTGCTTTGACAGCTCTGCGCCCCAAACAAGTTCTTGGATTGGTTCCTAATCTTATCAGATCATTCTCAAATTCTCTGTTCTCTGCCTTTGCTCTCAGTCCAGCCTCTGGGACCCTCAGCCCTTTCTTAGCCTTTCTGTAACTTATATCCATATCTATATCTATATCATCTATATCCATATCCATATCTATATTTATATCTATATCCATATCCATATCTATATCTATGTTAGAGCAGGGTTTTCTGTAACATATATGTGTATATATAGAGTTGTGTAAAGTGTGATGTGTGACCTTGAGTGTTACAGATATAAGAAATTAAGATTGGAATAAAAGAACCTGTCATCTCCCTGCTCATGACTACTAGGTGACCCGCAAGTTACCACAAGTAACTGCCACTGGTGGCCTGTAAATATTTTGTCATTCAGCAGGTTCGAACACTGTGGAAAGACACAACATGTCTGTTAATGTCATAGCTTGCTCATGACAGTGATCTTGGCCAAGTCACTGCACTTCTCTGCTTCTTCAAGTGAGATTTGAAAACAGTGGTTCCCTCCAGCCCCAGAGGTTCCTGGTGGAGAAGGAACACAAAGTAAGACCTAGAAAAGGAGGCGGGGCAGGGAAGGGCTTGGCTCAGCCGGTAGCTCACCGACTACAAATCCTGAGTTCGAATCTTGCCTTCCTGGCTCCTGGCTGCCTCGCCTCAGGGCTGGTAGGAGTTCACCTGCCTCTATTGAATTGTCAGGATTCAATAGATTGATGCAAGATAACACCCAGAGCAGTGGCCCATACAGAATAATGCCAATGAGTGATGGCTAACCTTCCAGAGTGTCGCACAGGGCATAGACCGCTCCTACTATTCGCCACTCTGGGCTTCTGTTAATCCCTGCACCCCCCCCCTCCACAGCACGCTTTTCTGAGATGTCTTGG